TGAAGGCCCCTGAAGCGCAAACGCCTCGACCCCAGTCTCGGGGAGGCCACCTTCTCTGCCTGGTGCTGGGATATTGTGGACCCCACCCTTGTACGAAGGCGTCGTCACAGCCCACCTCCCGCCTCATGCTGGGCCCTGCTGCACCCCAAGTCTCCCCTTAGCAGTCACCGCTTCTCCTGAGCCTGCGTTGGGGAGGAGCCCGGAGCCTGTCCTGTGACACGGGGTGTTCTTGCCTGCCCAGCTCCAGCCGCTGAAAAATGAGCTTCTCGGGGATGCAGGCGTTTTACTCCAAACTCTCCTGTGATTGTGTGGGCCAAAAGGATCAGGAGACAGAGAGAGGGACTGAGAGCAGTAGAAAACCTGCGACAGGCCGATGCAGGCGCTCAAGCCTGTAATCCCAGCACTTTGGGAGGCCGAGACGGGCGGATCACGAAGTCAGAAATCAGACCATCTGTGTAGTGGAAACCGTCTCTACTAAAAATACACACAAAAAAACTAGCCAGGCGAGGTGGCGGGTGCCTGTAGTCCCAGCTACTCGGGAGGCTGAGGCAGGAGAATGGCGTAAACCCGGGAGGCAGAGCTTGCAGTGAGGTGAGATCCGGCCACTGCACTCCAGCTTGGGCGACAGGGCGAGACTCCGTCTCAAAAAAAAAAAAAAAAAACAAAACCTGCTGACAGAGAAAAGCAGAAAAGACCCATAACAGATATGCAAGTAGAGGATGGTGAGGATTTGCTTGAAGAGACAGCAAAAGTGAAAATACAAAAAAGATAAGAAAGCAGGAGAATGTAGAGAAAAGCTACAAGAGATAGCAAGAAGTGGGGAAAAAAAGAAAAAGAAAAGAAAGTGGAGAAAGCAACTGGAGAAATGTAGAGAAAATCTGGCCCTTACAGAGATGGTGGGACGACAGCAAGTACAGGCAGCAAGAGGAGGCTCATCAGAGTGAGAGAGGAGGAGGGATTGGAGCCAGGGCAGACAGAGCACAGTGGTGCTGGTGGCAAGGAGAACAGAGGGAGAATCACAGCAGGAGGGCACCTGGGGATCTGGGGTGCCAGAGAGTAGGGACAGAGTATAACACAGGGAAGACGGGAGATTTAACAGGGAGAGCAGAGGAGGAGCAGAGATGGGGAGAAGAGGCAGAAATAGATGGAGTTGAGGACGATCTAAAGATTGGGGAGAAGGAGCAACAAGAGGTTAAACAAGATGTGAGGATGGAACCCAGATAATTTTTGTATTTTTAGTAGAGACAGGGTTTCACCATGTTGGCCAAGCTGGTCTTGAACTTCTGACCTCAGGTGATCCACCCGCCTCGACCTCCCAAATTGCTGGGATTACAGGCGTGAGCCACCGCCTGTACCCATGCATTCTTGATTGAAAAAGTTTGCTATGTCTTAGTTCTACGGCTGACCCTCTTTCCCTGTTTTTGTTTGTTTGTTTTGGGAGGCCTTACTTCGCTCTTGTTGCCCAGGCTGGAGTGCAATGGAGGCGATCTCAAGTCACCACAAGCCTTTTTTTTTTTTTTTTTTTTTGAGATGGGAGTCCCTCTTGTGCCCAGGCTGGAGTGCAATGGTGCGATCTCGGCTCACTGCAACCTCCTGACTTCCTCGTTCAAGCAGTTCTCCTGCCTCAGCCTCCTAGTCGGCTGGATTACAGGCATGTACCACCCGCTGGGCTAATTACATATTTTTAGTACAGATGGGGTTTCTCCATATTGGTCAGGCTGGTCTCGAACTCCCGACCTTAGATGATCCGCTGCCCGGCCTCCCAAAGTGCTGGGATTACAGGCATGAGCCACAAGCCTAGCCTACTCACTGCAACCTTCCTCCCAGTTCGTGGTGTCCTGCCTTGGCCTTCCTGAGTAGCTGGAATTACAGGCATGCATCACCACTTCTGAATAATTTTTGTAGTTTTAGTAGAGATGGGATTTCTCCATGTTGGTCAGGTATAGTCTGGAACTCCCAACCTCGGGTGATACGCCCGCCTCGGCCTCCCAAAGTGCTGGGATTACAGGTGTGAGCCACTGCACACAGCCTCTCTGTTTTCAAGGTACTTAGCTGTGTCTTTATACTTCTGCATTTTATAAATGTTACTGTAATTTTCTTGTGAGGAAGAATTAAATGTTGGGAATCAGTGGCATCAGAACCTGACAAAAGAAGTTTCTTTATCCCAGGTATACTTGAAGATGCTTCTCTAAGTTTCAAGTATAATTTTGATAAAGGCCAGCCTTTCCACTAGCCCTTCCAGGCCACCATTGCTCCAGAATTCAGGTGTATCTTCTCACTCATCAGACCTGCTTCTCAGCGTAACTCATTGAGAAATGTCCCTGTTCTGAGGATATCACAGTGAAGAATCTAAAGCAGAGTCATATCCAGTCCCTGGCAGAGAACCCTCCGGTTTCCCGTGTTCCCCAGGACAAAGTCCAGCTCCTCACTGTAGCTCCACAGCCCTGTGTCCAGGGCCCTGCCAGTGTCCAGCCTCCTCACAAGGCTTGCCTCATCTCATGCCTCTGCCCAGTCACATTTGCTTTTCTCTTTCCCCAAACCTCGAGCCCTTCCTGCTCTCAGTTGTTTCCTGCTCTTACCCTCTGTCCTAAATGCTCCCAGCACTGTCCCCTTCTCCTCCTTCAGGTCTTGGCTCAGAAATGTCTCCCATGCTCTCCCACCCCGATCTGAAGTTCCCCTCTGCCAGTCCAGTCTCTATCCCATTACTCCAGTTTTATTATCTCGTCAATCACATCAGAAACACGCTTTTTCTTTTCCCAGAGAGTCTCACTCTGTCCTCCAGGCTGTGAGTGCAGTCTTGTGATCTTGGCTCACTGCCTGGCCTCTGTCTCTCCTGGGTCCAAACCCAGTTCTTGCCTCAGCCTCCCAGGTAGCTGAGATTACAGGTATGTGCCACCATACCCGGCTAATTTTTGTATTTGTATTTTATTTTATTTTTTGGTCTCACTCTGTTGCCTGGCTGGAGTCAGTGGTGCCATCTTGGCTCGCCTGACCTCCACCTCCCAGAGTTCAGTGATCCTGCAACCTCAAGCCTCCGGAGTAGCTGGGATTACTGACACCCACCAAGCCTGGCTACTTTTTGTATTTTTTGGTAGATACAGGGTTTCACCATGTTGGCCAGGCTGCTCTCGAACTCCTGACCTCAAATAATCCTCCCACCTCAGCCTTCCAGAGTGCTAGTATTTCAGGCATGAACCATATGCGCCCAGCCAATTTCGTGTTTTTAGTACAGACAGGATTTACCATGTTAGCCAGGCTGGTCTCAAACTCCTGGGTTCTGTGATCCATCCCTTCAGCTTCCTAAGTAGCTGGGACCAGAACACACAGGCATTACACCAACCACACGTGGCCAAATTTTTAGCATTTTTTTGGTAGAGATGGGAGGTTTCCATGTTCACCCAGGCTGGTCTCAAACTCCTGAAGCTCAAGCAATGTATACCCACCTTGGCTTCCCAGAGTGCTGGGATGACAGGTATGAGCTACCACACCCAGCCTCCGCCACCAAGGATTTGGTCAGGGCTGGGTCTGGCCTGAGAGGGGATCTCATTCCAGCCCAGCTCCTCCAATCCTGCAGTGTGTGTGTGGGCTTCTCCAGGAGGAAGTGAGAGTCTTGTAGAAATGTATCATCCTGGTGCAGTGGGCAGCGCAGGGTGACTGTATTTTTTTCAGGTAGAGGCACCTTTATGTGTCATTGTGTTACAGGAAGTGTTGATTCTAGGCAATAAAACGACATATTTCTAACATTCAAGTTGACTTACAAAGACTCTTGATACGTGAGGGAAAAAACCTGAAGAGGAAGCAAGGGTCAGGGATGGCTGTTCCTCCAGGTGAGATGATATTCTCGGTGGATTGTTCTGTCTCTTTCCTTTCAGAAACCCTGGGCCTTGGTGTTGGGAATTTCTCTGAGTCTCAAGTGTCCTCCTGACAGGTTTATACACTCACCCTTCCTTCCTCAGTCCCTCTCATCTTGCTCTGGGGTGAGAAGTCCCGTGAGTGTCAGTGCTGTTAGGCAGCAAGAGTTGTTCAGGAGCCACATCTGGATGCTCTGTCAGCTCTCTGTGGACCAGGAGTAGAGCAGCTTCAATGGAAATCACATATTCATTGTACCCAAAGTACGTGGTAAATTCTAGAAAGAGGAGACCAATAAGGAAAATCTTTTCTCCCTGATTTTATACTAAATTTTTCAGTAATTGAATGAGTTGCTCTGTTTCTGACTCAAAAATCTTGAAGTACTTAGAATGGGAAATTCATACACAGACATGAATGATACAGGGGTTTTATTCCATCATTATTTTAAGAATATGAAGTCAACCTAAATAACAGCAGGAGATTTATTAAACCATTCTTAACAAATTAAGCCCCAGTGGAGACAGTGGTGTTACTGTTGGATCTTGTGAAACAGGTGTTTTTGTAAAACTGATTACAATTTTTTTCTGAAGTATAGGAGCAGTACTTCCAGCTGTAAAGTATCCTTTTCCACAAAATGAGGTCCTCTTTTATGTTAAACAAAACTTGCCTACTTTTTATATTTTTAAAACCTTTATATATATACACATATGCACACACATATGTACATACACACACATATATACACATATGTATGTATTTTGAAAATGTCCATACTTTGAAATCTGGGACAAATGACACTTTGTATTAACATGTAGTTTTTGTGAGTGTGTGTAGGTTTATTATTTTTGGAACATATACAAAATAAGTTTTGTATTTAGTAATCTTATTTTCATGTATTTTATTTTATTTGAGATGGAGTCTTCCTTTGTGCAAGGCTGGGCCTTGGCGCAGTAAATGGCCCTGCTGAAATCCCACCATCAGAGTCAAGCCATCCTCCCACCTCAGCCTTCCAAGTAGTTGGGACAACAGGTGCCTGCCACCATGCCCAGCTAATTATTTACTTCTAACATAGAAATTCATACAAGGAGGGTATCTGACCTCTTCAAAGTGTAATCAAACACCAGTGGGAAGGCATTATGTGGTGGAAAATCCCTCGCTTGGATTTGTCAGAACATTCCTACAATTGAATCCATGCTTTCTCCTCTCTCGTCTTCTCATTTTCTGTAGAGCTAAGAACTTCTCCCATAGCCATTTGGTTAAAATGTGTTTTCATTTCAGGGTCTGTTGACATTCAGGGATGTGGCCATAGAATTCTCTCAGGAGGAGTGGAAATGTCTGGACCATCTCAGAGGACTTTATACAGAGACGTGATGGTGGAGAATTACAGGAACCTGGTCTCCCTGGGTGAGGATAACTTCCCTCCAGAGGTGGGGATGTGCCCTTTTGTATCTTTGTATTTTCTCTTGTTACTCATGGGGAGCTACATCCTTGCTTGACTAATGTGGAAGTCATGTTGATTTTTGAAATGAAAGCTTCATGATGTAGCTTCTGGACTTTCTGTCCCCTTTGTTTAGATGTTTTGCATTCTTCATGATAGCTCAGGAGAGGTTCCAAGTAAAGTAAGCATAAAACCTTATGGACCAGGCATAGTGGCTCCACGCCTGTCATCTCAGCACCTTGGGGTCAGGCGTGTGGATCACTTCAGGTCGAGTTCAAGATCAACCTGGCCAACATGGAGAATCCCATCTCTACTAAAAACACAAAAATTAGCCAGGCGTGGTAGTGCATACCTGTAGTCAACTCCTAGAAAGGCTGACAAAGAAGATCGCTTGATCGGCAGGCCAAGGTTCCAGTGAGCTGAGAACACACCACTGCACTCCAGCCGAGTAATGAAACAAGACTGTGTCTCACAAAGCAAAACAAAAACAAAAACAAAACCTTCTGGCATACTTTAAAGATATCCAGTTTCCTGTTTGCTTCTCCTGTGCTGTCAATTCAGTAGTTCTTGGAAGAGAGCTCGATGTCCACATATTACATATAACAATGCTCCTTCAGCATTCAGAGAGGGAGGCAGTCAGTGGAGCAATTAGTGAAATATTTTCCTAGATCATCTGCAGTGTCTTCTTTCCTGCAGGAAACACTTAGGGCTGGGACTCTGGAAAAGCTCCAGCACATCACAGTACTTTCTTTTTTTTTTTTTTTTTTTTTGAGACAGAGTCTCGCTCAGCCACCCAGGCTGGAGTGCAGTGGCGCGATCTCAGCTCACTGCAAGCTCCGCCTTCTGGGTTCACGCCATTCTCCTGCCTCAGCCTCCCGAGTAACTGGGACTACAGGCACCCGCCACCATGCCCGGCTAATTTTTGTATTTTTAGTAGAGATGGGGATTTCTACATGGTCTCGATCTCTGACCTTTTTGATCCACCCGCCTCCAGCTCCCAAAGTGCTGGGATTACAGGCGTGAGCCACCATGCCCGGCCAGTACTTTCTTTTATAAGCGGGAATCTCTTGCTGACCTGCTGTCTCATATTGGAGCGAGAAAAGAGCCTGGACTGTGGAGAGTGAAGTAAATGGCAAAATCCAGCTGGGTGGGAATGTATTACAGGCGTAAAGGCAGGTAAGAGCTCAGATGGGCAAGTCGACTCCACCTTCCAATAGTGTGTGGGAAACTCTGCAAGTGGGGAGAATTCTGTGGGAAAAGGAAAATTTCTATCCTGAGATCTCTGAAATAACATCTTTATTTGCCCCCTCTTATCCCTCTGCTCTTCCTTTCTTTTTCTTATTTTATGAAAGAGTCTCACTCTGTTGCCCCGGCTACAGTGCAGTGGTATGATCTTGGCTAACCTTGTACCTCTACCTCCCAGGCTCAAAGTTTACCTTATCCCAGCTTCCTGAGTAGCCGGACTGCAGAGCCTCACCACCACGCAGCTGATTTTTGTGTTTCAGTAGAGACGGTTTCATCATATTTGTGATCTGGTCTCAGTGATCCACCTGCTTTGGCTTCCCAAAGTGTGGGCCTAAGATTACCTAGTTGCTGAGGCAAGAGACTGAAGGCACAAACTGTTTCAGTATAATAAAGAAAATAGTTAGAATAAGAATAATAATATAAATTAGATATAGAGATGATCATGGCAGTTGTCAATCATTATTGTAATTGATATTGATCATTGGCTTTTAATATTACTCTTTGTTGCATTACTATTATAACCTAGGACTAGCTGGCAGGTATAGGGTCAGGTGCTGGGAAGGAGACATTGATGACCTAGAAGGCAAGAGAGTGAGCTTTCTGTCACACACCATAAAGGCCACTTGAGGCTCCTTGGTGAAGCAGTCGCAGTGTCTGGGAAGGCCCCCGTTACTCAGCAGACTATGAAGGGAGTCTCCTTTCCTTGGAGGAGTCAGGGAATGCTCTGCTCTTCCAGCTTCTTGTGGAAGGCTGGATGTTCTATCCCAGGCCTGCCCGCAGTCGTCCTGAGGCCTAAACGCCTCCCTGTGGTAGCTGTGCTTCAATGAGTCACCTCTTTGTCCACTTTCATGCTCCTCCCATACTCTAGTTCCTCTTTGAAGTTCATAGTAGATAAGCATTAGAATAAGCAGTGAAAGTCTTTTTTTTTTTTTTTTTTTTTTTTTTGAGACGGAGTCTGGCTCTGTCGCCCAGGCTGGAGTGCAGTGGCCGGATCTCAGCTCACTGCAAGCTCCGCCTCCCGGGTTACGCCATTCTCCTGCCTCAGCCTCCGGAGTAGCTGGGACTACAGGCGCCTGCCACCCCCTCGCCCGGCTAGTTTTTATATTTTTAGTAGAGAAGGGTTTCACCGTATTGCATGGGATGGTCTCGATCTCTGACCTCGTGATCCGCCCGTCTGGCCTCCCAAAGTGCTGGGATTACAGGCTTGAGCTGCACCGCGCTGCGGCCGTGAAAGTCTTAAAGTCTTTGATCTTTCTTAAAAGGTGAAAGTCTTAAAGTCTTTGATCTTTCTTAAAAGTGCATAGAAGAAAACGCCGATGTATGCTGGCTTCTTTCTCTCTACTTTGGCTACATAAGAGGTAAGAGCCCACTGTCCTCTGATCATGTGACTTGCTTCACCTTGTCAATCACTTAGAAGATTCACCCTCCTTACCCTGCCCCTTGTCTTGTATGCAATAAACATTAGAGTGCCCAGCCGTTTCGGCTGCTACGGGTCTCGGCGTCTTGATGGTAGTGGTCCCCCGGCCCAGATGTTTTCTCTTTATCTCTTTGTCTTGAGTCTTTATTTATTACAGCCTCTCATCTCCACACACGGGGAGAACACCCGGTAAGCTCCGTAGGGCTGGACCCTACACCAAAGCGCTGGGATTACAGGCGCCAGCCGCCATGCACAACTATTGTTATTATGTTAAATAGTTTTGTCTTTTAGTTCTCTGTAAACATGTAAGTGGCTTAAGCATGATTCCAGTGTGAATATAACAACCACATTAGTGTCCATTTCTTTCTTTCTTTTTTTTTTAGTCGGAGTCTCGCTCTGTCGCCCAGGTTGGAGTGCAGTGGCGCGATCTTGGCTCACTGCAAGGTCCGCCTCCAGGGTTCACGCCATTCTCCTGCCTCAGCCTCCTGAGTAGCTGGGACTACAGGCACCCGCCACCACGCCAAGCTATTTTTTTTTTTTTTTGTATTTTTGGTAGAGACGGGGTTTCACCGTGGTCTCGATCACGTATACCTCGTGATATACCCACCTTGGCCTCCCAAAGTGCTGGGATTACAGGTGTGAGCCACCGTGCCTGGTTGTGCCCATTTCTTTCAGTAAACAGAAGTTAAGTGTGTTGTATAAATAAAATAAAAAGGCATGAAAAACACTGTACTTATATATTACCAGAAATGCGACATACACAGAAATAATTCTGACAAAAATAAAAATAGTTATAGAGGAGTAGTAGTTTTGGGAAGTGGTTATTGTTGCAGGTATGTTAAAGATCTTAAAGTTATAGCATAATAATGAAACTTAAACTTTTCATAACCTGGCCAGGTGTAGTGGCTCATGCGTATAATTCCAGCACTTTGGGAGGCCGAGGTGGTGTTGAAATCCAGCCTGGCTAACATGGCGAAACTTCATCTGTACTAAAATTACAAAAATTATCCAGGCACAGTAGTGGGTGGCAGTAATCCCAGCTACTCAGGTGACTGAGGCACGAGAGTTGTTTGAACCCGGGAGGTGGAGGTTGCAGTGAGCTGAGATTGCATCTTTGCACTCCAACACGGGAGACAGAGTAAGACCCTATCTCAAAAAAAAAAGTTTCATAACCTGCAAAAACTACTTCTCTAGAACTTTTTAAATTTTTGTCAAAATGATTTCTGTGTATGTTGCATTTCTGGTAACATATATGTAGTGTTTTTTCATGCCTTTTTATTTTAAATAATATTTAAAAAGTTTAGTTCTGAACAAAAGGTACACATATGTCAGTTTCTATATCTGTCCTGTTATTAATTAATTTATGTATTTATGAGACAGAGTTTTGCTGTTGTTGCCCATGCTGAAGTGCAATGCTGCAATCTCAGCTCACCACCACAACCTGCACCTCCAACCAATTCTCCTGCCTCAGCCTCCTGAGTAGCTGGGATTGCAAACATGCGCCACTACACCCAGCTAATTTTGTATTTTTAGTAGAGGAAGGGTTTCTCCTTGTTGGTCACGCTGGTCTTGAACACCTGACCTCAGGTTATCCACCTGGCTCGTCCTCCCAAAGTGCTGGGATTACAGGTGTGAACCACGATGCCCGGCCGGTTTTTTTTTTTTTTTTTTTAATTTATCTTTACTGGAGAACTTCATATATGTTTGTGGGTTGGAGTTACTTTTTAGACTTCTTTCATTTCTTTTTTTTTTTTTTTGAGACAAAATCTCAGTCTGTCACCCAGTCTAAAGTGTAGTGGTGTGATCTTGGCTCTTGGCTCACTGCAACCCCCACCTCCCAGGTTCTAGCAATTCTCTAGTTTCAGCCCACCAAGTAGCTGAGACTACAGGTGAGTGCCAACATGCTGGGATAATTTTTTGTATTTTTTAGTAGAGACGATGTTTCATCTTGTTAGCCAGGATGGTCTAAATCTGCTGACCTCGTGATCCTTCTGCCACAGCCTCTCAAAATGCTGGGATTACTGGTGTAAGCCATCGTGCCTGGCTCATCTGAAGTTTTTTTTTTTTTTTTTAACACATTAGTGCTCTTAGATGGCTTCAGGGATTGCAAGTTTTACAGTACAGACTCTTAACTTCCTTTGTTTAATAGGATTTGTCAGCTTTTGGTGATGTTGATGATGAGATGCTCCTGTTCCTGTCTCAGTCATTTCACTGTCCTGTCAGAAATAATTTAGACTGGCTGGCTGCCGTGGCTCACACCTCTAATCCCAGCACTTTGGGAGGCCGAGGTGGGTAGATCACTTGAGGTCAGGAGTTTGAGACCAGTCTGGCCAATGTGGTGAAGCATTGAATGTACTAAATGCCAAAAATGGGCCAGGCACAGTGGCTCCCAGTAATCCCAGCAGTTTGGGGGGCTGAGATGGACCAATTACTTGAGGTCAGGAGTTTGAGACAAGCCTGGCCAATATGGTGAAACTCTCTCTACTAAAAATACAAAAATTAGCTGTGCATGGTGGCAGGTGCCTGTAATCCCAGCTACTTGGGAGGCTGAGGCAGGAGAATCACTTGATCTGCACAGCAGGTGGAGGTTGCTGTGAGCCAAGATCACTCCACTGCACTCCAGCCCATGCAACAGAGTGAGACTCTGGGCTGAGGAGGGAGAATCACTTGAGGTAGGAGAATCCTGCCAGTACACTCCAGCCTGAGTGATAGAGCGTGACTCCATCTCAAAAATAAACAAAAAAGGAAATAGCTTAAACTGAGAGGCTTCAGACACAGAAACTTATTTCTCATGAATTTGGAAAGTGGGAAATCCAAGAGCAAGGTGCCAGCCACATTGGTTCCTGGTGAGAGCCTTCTTCATGGTTTAGCCCAGTCATCTTCCTGCCATGTCCTGACCTGGTGGAAAGAGGAACCATGGTAGAAAGAGCTCTGTAATGTCTCTTCATAAAGGTACTAGTTCTATTAACGAGTTGTAAACACTCACGACTAAATTCTTTCAAAGTCTGCATGTGCAGGAATATCCTATTAAAGAATACCAAATATACCAAAGCTTATTTGAGAAGTAGTTATTTATCTTATTTTTTGAGATGGAGTCTCATCCTGTCTCCCTGTCTGGAGTGCTCTGCCACGATCTTGGCTCACTGCAGCCTCTGCCTTCCAGGTTCAAACGATTCCTGCCTCAGCCACCCAAGTAGCTGGGATTACAGGCACCATCCACCATGCCCAGCTAATGTTTTTGTATTTTTAGTAGATATGGGGTTGCACCATGTTGGCCAGGCTGGTCTCGAACTTCTGACTTCGTGATTCACCCACCTCGGACCTCCAAAGTGCTGGGATTACAGGCATGTGCCACTGTGCCTGGACATTAGTTAATTCTTATTCCTTATAGTGCTGTGTATATTTTTGACCTAATAAATCAGAAAGTAGTGATATTAACATGTATTTCAGCTCTTATGTTGTGTACTGGTGGTAAGTATAAGTTATGACTTTTTTCTTAATGGGGAATTGTTTACAATTCTGCAGGCTGTATACATGTACTTATTATTTTCTGACTTCTTTTATCAAGGGTTACAATATTTCATTAACTGATTTTCATGACTTTACCTGTGAGTTTTCGGTATGTGATATGCAATGTAACTGACACACTCCACTTGTTAATGTCACAAAGTGCTGCCGGGGCGCAGTGGCTCCTGCCTGTAATTTCAGGACACCAGGCATGGTGGTGCATACCTGTAATCCCAGGTACCCAGCAGGCTTAGAAGAGAGACTTGCTTGAACCCAGGAGGCAGAGGCTGCAGTGAACCAAGCTCATGCCATTGCACTCTGGCCTGGGTGACAGAGTGAGACTCCATCTCAAAAAAATAAAAATTCAGGCTGGGCGCGGTGGCTCAAGCCTGTAATACCAGCACTTTGGGACGCCGAGATGGGCGGATCACTAGGTCAGGAGATCGAGATCATCCTGGCTAACACGGTGAAACCCCGTCTCTACTAAAAAAATACAAAAAACTAGCCGGGTGAGGTGGCGGGCGCCTGTAGTCCCAGCTACTCAGGAGGCTGAGGCAGGAGAATGGCCTAAACCCGGGAGGCAGAGCTTGCAGTGAGCTGAGATCCGGCCACTCCGTCTCAAAATAAATAAATAAATAAATAAATAAAAATAAAAATTCAAAAATTTTTTTAAACAGTCACAAAGTGCCTGTTGCACATGAATATAGGTAATTTTGTAATAGTTATTTAGAAAAATATGGTATTAACATTTTTCTTTTTTGAGATATGGTCTCACTCTGTCACCCAGGGTGGAGTGCAGTGGCACCATCTCAGCTCACCACAATCTTGCCCTCCCGGGTTCAAGCAAATCTCCTGTCTCAGCCTCCCAAGTAGCTTGGATTACAGGTGCCCGCCATCACGCCCGGCTACTTTTTGTATTTTTAGTAGAGAAGGGGTTTTGCCATGTTGGCGAGGCTGGTGTTGAACTCCTGACCTCAGGTAATTTGCCTGCCTCGGTCTCCTAAAGTACTGGGATTACAGGTGTGAGCCATCATGCCGTGCCTTGTTTCTTTTGAGGTGGAGTCTTACTTTTCACCCAGGCTGGAGTGCAGTGGTTCGATGTTGGTACACTGCAACCTTTGCCTCTTGGCTTAAAGCAATTCTTGTGCATTAGCCACTTGAGTAGCTGGGACTACAGGCGTGGGCCACCACACCTGCCTAATTTTTGTAATATTTTCTTCTCAGTGCTATGATTGTTTGACAATATAGAAATTCCATTGTTTTTTATTATCCTTACAAGAGATTATTGTGGATTATTTAAAAATATAATACCTTGTCTGTTTTTTTAGTATTTATTTGTATACAGTAAATACCCTATAAATATGAAGAATATATATTTTTCTCTTCTTTGATGTGACAGTGATATGTTTTTTGCAAACTGTGACACACTTTAGGGTCACAGTGGAAAAATACGGCTTACTTTAGGCTTACACATGTTTGTGCCCTGTCAGTGTTTTGTCATGATATTGGAAAGAGACTTCAGTAAAAATGATTTGAAGAATATGTAATCGCCCATTATTTGTTAAAAAATCTTACCCCTTTTGTGTTCCTAAACTTTGAAGATCATGTTTGGGAAGTTTAAAATAAGTATTGTTTTTTGTGTCATATTTACACATTTCAGTATTGTGTAACTTCTGTACTTAATTGGAAACCTATTGGTGTTTATATTTTGTAGCTATCTCTTCCAAACGCATGATGAAGATGTTCTCATCAACAGGGCAAGGCAATACAGAAGTGATCCACACAGGGACATTGCAAAGACAAGCAAGTCATCACATTGGAGATACTTGCTTCCAGGAAATTGGGAAAGATATTCATGACTTTGTGTTTCAGTGGCAAGAAAATGAAACAAATGGCCATGAAGCACCCACGCCAAAAATAAAAATGTTGACGAGTAGTATAGACCGATATGATCAAAGGCTTGCTGGGAACAAGCCTATTAAAGATCAGCTTAGATCAAGCTTTCATTCTCATCTGCCTGAACTGCACACATTTCAGCCTGAAGGGAAAATTGGCAATCAAGTTGAGAAGCCTATCAATGATGCCTTCTCAGTTTCAGCATCCCAAAGAATTTCCTGTAGGCCCAAAACCCATATTTCTAATAAGTATGGGAAGAATTTCCTTCATTCTTCATTACTCATAGAAAAACAGGAAATACACATGAGAGAAAAATCTTTCCGATGTAATGAGAGTGGCAAAGCCTTTAATCATAGCTCACTCTTTAAAAAACATCAGATAATCCATTTAGGAGACAAACAATATAAGTATGATGTATGTGGCAAGGTCTTTCATCAGAAGCGATACCTTGCATGCCATCATAGATGTCACACTGGTGAGAAACCTTACAAGTGTAATGAGTGTGGCAAGACCTTCAGTCACAATTCAGCCCTCTTAGTTCACAAGGCAATTCATACTGGAGAGAAACCTTACAAGTGTAATGAATGTGGCAAGGTTTTTAATCAACAATCAAACCTTGCACGTCATCATAGACTTCATACTGGAGAGAAACCTCACAAATGTGAAGAATGTGACAAAGTTTTCAGTCGCAAATCACATCTTGAAAGACATAGGAGAATTCATACTGGAGAGAAACCATACAAATGTAAGATTTGTGGCAAGGCTTTCAGACGTGATTCACACCTGGCACAACATATTGTAATTCACACTGGAGAGAAACCTTACAAGTGTAATGACTGTGGCAAGACCTTCATTCAAAATTCATCTCTTGTGATGCATAAAGTCATTCATACTGGAGAGAAACGTTACAAGTGTAATGAATGTGGCAAAAGTTTTAATCACAAATCAAACCTTGCATGTCATCATAGACTTCATACTGGAGAGAAACCTTACAAGTGTAATGAATGTGGCAAGGTTTTTAATCGAAAATCAAACCTTGAACGTCATCATAGACTTCACACTGAAAAGAAATCTTATAAACGTAATTAATTTGCAAGGTTTTTAGGCAACAATCAAACCTTGCTTGTCATCATAGACTTTATACTGGAGAGAAACTTTACAAATGTGAAGAATGTGACAAAGTTTTCAATTTCAAATCACTTCTTGAAATACATAGGAGAGTTCATACTGAAGAGAAATAATAGAAGTGTAAGGTTTGTGACAAGGTTTTCGGGTGTGAGTCACACCTGGCACAACATACTGGAATTCACACTGGAAAGGAACTGTACAAGTGTAATGAGTGTGGCAAAGCCTTTAGTGGTCAGTTACAAATGTAATGATTGTCACAAAGTCTTCAGTAACACTACAACCATTGTAAAACATTGGAGCATCCATAATAAAGAGAGGTCTTACAAGCATAATAAATGTGGCAAGTTTTTCAGACATCATTCACACCTTGCAGTTCATGGGCGATCCTGTACAGGAGAGAAACCTTACAAATGTGATGATTATGGCAAGGTCTTCAGTCAAGCTTTATCTTTTGCAAAACATAGGAGAATTCATACAGGAGAGAAACCTCACAAATATGATTGTGGCATAGTCTTTACTTCATGTTCACACCACATTAGATATCAGAGGGTCCATACTGGACAGAAAGTTTACAAATGTCATATATGTGACAAGGTCTTCAGTCTGAGGTTACTCCTTGCAGAATATCAGAACGTTCATTTTTGAGGTAATAGTTACAAATGCAATGAGCATAGCAAACCATCAAGGATTAATTGACAGTAGAGTCAATTCAGCATTGACTTGAGTTTGAGTTGACTTAAAACATTGAGTTCAAGCATTAATTGACATTAAAGTGTTTATATTAAGAGGATTGGGCCAGGTGCGATGGCTCACACCTGTAATCCCAGCACTTTAGGAGCCCGAGGTGGGTAGATCACTTGAGATCATGAGTTTGAGACCAGCCTAGCCAACAGACGTGAGTCACTTTTCCCAGCCTGCTTTTTGTTTCTTTAACAAAAACCGATAGGGATTTTTATGAGTGTTGTGTTGAATCTGGATCACACTGGGTTACGTAATCATTTAGCAATATTAATTTTTCCAAACCATCAATATGAGTTGTATCTCTATATATGTTTTTAATCATTTTGGTCAATGTTTGTAGATTTCAAGGTACAAAATTTTCAGTTTTTAACGTTTATTCCTAAGTATTTCTCACTTTAAGATCTCTAGCAAATGGAAGTGTTTTTTAAGATCCCCAGCAAATGGAAGTGTTTTTTAATTTTTGTTTAAAAGTGTTTGTTGTTAATGTATGGAAATTCAACTAATTTTTGGTGCTGATACTGTACTGTGCAAATCCACCGAATGTGTTTTTCCATTAGTATTTTGGTTGACTCAGGCCCCGCCCACCTCTTCCCCTCACGTTCTGGCCTGATCCAGGCCCCGCTCACCTCTTCCCCTGGTCTGGCTTCTGCCCTGCGCTGATTGGCACAGACCCGGAAGCTGATGGCGTGGACTGAAGGTTGTACCGTGGAGTTTGCGCTTCCCAGTTCTCTGGTGCTGCTATACCGGGGACGTGGGGTCCCCACAGACCTGGAAATTCCGCCCCCTCTTTCTCAACTCAGAGCAAATTGAGAAGTCCGGGTGAGAGTTCATGAGTCGCTTCCTTTTGATTTTAAAGTCTCCCTGAGGCTGGTCCCGTCCCTGTCTTTCTGTGGGGCCGTGCAGACACCTCCTGTGGCGAAACTTTCCTTCTCAAAACCCTTCCGACCCATCCTCCCGCCTCGTGCTGTTTCAAGTCCTCACCATCACCCTCGAGCTGGACTCTCACCCTGGGCGCCTTCCAGCCTTGCTCTCATCGGCTCTTGGAGCGCCGCGCTGCAGCCCCAGTCCCGGGGAGACCACGTTCTCTATGTGGTCCTGAGATCCTGCAGACCCTACCCCTGTCCGAAGGCGCCATCATCCCCCACCTCCCTCCTCGTACCCGGCCCTGCTTCTCCCCAGTTCCAACTCCTGGAAAACGTGCTCCTGCTGGAGGCAACCCTGTTTTTCCACCCTCTCCCTGTTGTTCCCGGAAGGCAGGCCTGGAGTGTGAAGTTTTCAGGTTCTTCGATATTAAACATAATTGAAAAAACAAACAAACAAACAAAAACACAAAGTAACAAAAGAATGAAGCAGCGAAAGCAGAAATTTAATCAAGAAAGCATTCCACAGGGTGGGAGTGGGCCCGAGTGAGCGTCTCCAGGGCCCCGTTTACAAAGTTCTTGGAGGTTAAAGTTTTTGTTGTTGTTGTTGTTGTTGTTTTTAAGGTCTCTATGGGCTACCCCATATCTGGATGAACGATTTGGCCCTTGGCCAACGAAATACTGAGGTGAATTCGCCTGAGACCAGAGCAGATGGGTGCCCTACGCAGAGTAAGTGGTGGCCAGTGCTTGGCTGTGGCCACTCCTGGGCTTTTGCTCTTTCTATCTGATACCTGGTGGAAGGGGGAGGGCGCTAGGGAGAGCAGCCTTTGATCCTTTGTTACTTCGGGTGGGAAGATGGGGTTTTTCCTTTTAGTCTAGTTTTGGAAAGTTCACGTTAATTGGTTTTAGATCCTTTTTTATTTATTTGTTTATTTTTGGGATATCGGGGTCTCACTCTGTTACTGGGAGAGCAGTGATAGCATCACAGCTCGCTGCAGCGTCAACCTCCTGGGCTCAAGGGATCCTCCCACCTGAACCTCTAGAGTAGCCACGCGCCACCACACCGTGATAATTTTTGTGTTCTTGGTAGAGACAGGCTTTTGCCTTGTTGTCCAGGTCGGGCTCCAACTGCAGGGCTAAAGTGATCCTGGAGCATCGGCCTCCTTCAGTGCTGGGATGACAGGCTTGAGCCACCATGCCCGCCTTATTTCTTAGTTTAAAAAAAATATACATATAGGCCGTGCACAATGGCTCATGCCTGTCATCCCAGCACTGTGGGAGGCCGATTCTCATCTATCCAGGAGACGGGTTTCACCATGTTGCCCAGGTTAGTCTCAAACTCCTCAGCTTAACTGATCCGGCTTAACTGATCCGCTTGCTTCGGCTTTCCAAAGTGCTAGGATTACAGGAGTGAGCCACCACACGTGGCCAGTCCTGGAATTTTCTAGAGGAGGATGACCAACGCAGCCTATGGACCCTTCCTGGCCATCACATGAAGACCAGCGACTCCTGCTTCCAAAACTCGCAGCTTCTCAGGATGACTTGGGGAAACGTACCCCACTGTGAACCTCGGTGAGCCCACCTGTAACATACAGGTGAGGGAGAAGACCAGAAAAACTCAGTCAGAGTGACACTGACCCTGAAATGATGGGCAAAATGGAGTGTGTGGCTTTTCCTGTAGGAGAGGGTGATGCTTAGTTGTAATTTGAATTTTAAATGGATTCCAGTCCTCTGAAAAACAGGTGATTAGACTCAAATCACCTTGAACCTTTTCATCTCATGGCTTTAACCCACCTACATGGCTCCATGTCCCCTGCAGTCCTCTCCCCTGAGCTCTACAGTCCTGTGCCCAGTTCTCTTCTCTCTCTGCTGGGACATCAAACAGGCGTCTCCACCTTCACATGTCCATAAGTGACTTCCTAAACCCCCAAACATTCCCTTGCAGTCCTACACGTCTCAGATGAGGGTGACAATGTACTTCTAGGGGCTTAGCTGAGGTCGACACCATGTATTTTAAATATGGGAAATACATTATTTGTAAGTGTTATAATTTATAAGGTAAAGAGAAAATTACATGTATACATGAAAGGAGTGAGAAAATACATCATTTCCAAATTTCTTTTGAGGTGTAGGGGAAAAATGTTTCCAGACCTTATCCTTAGGGATCTGTGCTCCCAGGACCCCTCTGACTTCATCTCCTGCCTGTGTCCTCCTCACTTCATCTGCTCTAGCCATACAGTGTCTCCAGCCATACGGCTCAAGCCATACAGGCCTCTTTCTTTTTTCTGGGACTGAGGTTGCTCCTCTCTCAGGGCCTTCTGGGTTGTCCCTCTGCCTAGTACTCTGGCCCTGCAGCTGCAAGTGACAAGCAACCTTTCTTCCCTAAGTCTTTGTTCTGACATCACTTTCTCTATGGAAACCTTTGTGATCTCCTACAGTCCCCCATTTGACATGGCAACCCCACCTTCACTCCCACCTCTGGTCCATATTGCCTATTCTGTGTGATTCTTTTTGCTCCTTTGCTGTTCACTGGATTCTGGTGAGAACAAGTCACCAAGGGGAGAGCAGAGCCAGAAGGTGGGGCTGTGCTGGGCTGGCACCCTCTGAGTGGAGTTCAACCCTGACTTTACATGAGGGTTCTCAGACATTTTGCAAATACATGTTTTATGCTGTTTTATCAGAGATTGCTATTATCATAGGATGGGACCCACCCTCAATAATACTTATAATGGTGCTGGTGATTCTCATCTGTGTCCAGCATTGAACGTCAAGGCAGTTTCCTCCATGTTGAGAGCTGAGATCAGCCTGTGATCCACAGGGAGGTGAGGGGGCTGTGCTCTGTGTGGGGTTTGGTTAGTACCAGATCTGTGCCCTGAAGGTCTGTGCCCTGCTGCAGCGTGTGTTTGGACTTTTCCAGGGAGGGGGGAGTGGAATCTAAAAACAAGTCAAAATTACCCTTGTAGATCTTCCTGTGGGACATTGTTATCTCTGCATAATCTCTGGTGCAGTGGGCAGCAGAGGACTTCTCCCGGGTGAGGTGTCCCCTGTGTGTGCGTGCTTTGTCACAGGAAAGGAATGAGTGATTTCTAAACACTAAATCTCGGCTGGGTGCGGTGGCTCACATCAATCCCGAGTCTTTGGGAGGCCTGGGTGGGCAGATCATGAGGTCAGGAGATCAAGACCATCCTGGTCAACGTGGTAAAACCCCGTCTCTAGTAAAAATAGAAAAATTAGCTGGGCCTGGCAGCTCATGCCTGTAGTCCCAGCTACTTAAGAGGCTGAGGCATCAGAATCGCTAGAACCAGGGAGGCAGAGGTTACAGTGATCTGAGATCATGCCACCGAACCACATCCTGGTGACAGAGCTAGACTCCATCTCAAAAAAAAAAAAAAAGGAAAAATTAAATCTCATATTTTTTTACACACAGGATTGATTTCCAAAGACTCTTGCTATGTAATGAAGCCACCACAAAGGGCAAAGAAAAGGAGCCAGGGATGGCTGTTCCTCAGGTAAAGTGACATTCCTCAGTGGATTCTTCTGTCTCCTTTTCTAAAATAGCAGGTATTGTAGTAGCCAGTCTTCTGCGATTCTGAAGCGTCCTACCTCACAAGTTTGCTCACATTCACCCATGTCTTTTCTCAGTCTCTCTCATCTTAAATTCCTTCTGCCTCCGTTGCCCAGGCTGGAGTTCACTGGAGCAATCTGGGCTCACTATAACCTCCACCTCCCAGGATCAAGTGATTTCTCGTGCCTCAACCTCTCAAGTAGCTGGGATTACAGGCGTCCGCCACCAGGCTTGGCTAATTTTGTATTTTTCATAGAGATAGGGTTTCACCATGTTAGCCAGGCTGGTCTCAAGCCCCTGACTTCACATAATCTCCTTGACAGTTTTTCACTGTTACTAAGAATAACATACTGGATGCCTGTGAGTGTGGTGACTTCACTGCAGATATCTGGAGAATTCCTGCAAAACCGATTTACTTCTTTTTGGACTTGCCATTTCCTCTTATAGATATGGGAAGATTCCATCCGGACCCCCCCAGCTGCAAAGGTGCCCTCTCTGACTGAGAACATGAGAAATTTCTCACTCTTTCAAACAAGGCTTACTACTGTGGTCTTTTTGTATTCGGTGAAAATGAAAGCCCTTTTTATTTATATTTTCTATTCCTTGAGAGTCTGAGTAGATGTCATTAATCGTGGACATGTATATTTAAAATAGATTTTAATACTTTGCTGAAAGCATTCTTTTCATGTATTTTGAGAGCTATTTTGTATTCTTTTGTTCTTTATTTTTGTCCTGGTGATTTGTTCATATTATGCATTTTTTTAGGATAAAACAGAAATGTTCTTTCACATGCCCGCTTTTTTTTTTTTTTTTAAGACTGAGTTTTGCTCTTGTCACCCAGGCTGGAGTGCAATGGCATGATCTCGGCTGACTGCAGCCTCCGCCTCCCGGGTTCACACAGTTTTTCTGCCTCAGCCTCCTGAGTAGCTGCGATTACAGGCAGGCGCCACCACTCCCAGCTAGGTTTTATACTTTTTAGTTGAGATGGTGTTTCACCATGATGGCCATAATTTCTCTTGCCTTCTGAAATTAGAAATTTTGGGTCATTAATGTCTTCCAACAGGCTTTTCTATGCCTTTCTTCCTCTCACTGTCTTCTGGGGCTTCTGGTACTTGAAAAAAAATTTTTTTGAGATGAAGTTTTGCTCTGTTGCCAAGCTGGAGTGCAGTGGTGCAAACTCGGCTCACCTCCAGCCTCTGTCACCTGGGTTTAAGTGATTCTCTTATCTCAGCCTCCCAAGTAGCTGAGACTACATGTGTGCACTAGCACACCTGGCTAATTGTTACATTTTTCATAGAGCCGGGGTTTCTCTATGTTGGTCAGGCTGGTCTCAAACTCCCAATCTCAGGTGATCTGCCCGCATTGGCCTCCCAAAGTGCAGAGATTTCAGGTGTGAGCCATCGTGCCTGGCCTATTTTTTAAATTGTTTTATTTTTTTGAGACAGTCTTGCTTTGTCACCCAGGCTGGAGTACAGTGGAGCGATCTCGGCCCATTGCAACCTCTGCCTCCCATGTTCAAGTGCTTCTCCTGCCTCAGCCTCTAGAGTAACTGGAACTACAGGAGCCCACCTCCACACCCAGCTAATCTTTGTATTTTTAGTAGAGACAGGGTTTTGCCATAATAACCAGGCTGTTCTCCAAACTCCTGACCTCAGGTGATCCACCCACCTCGGCCTCCCCAAGTCCTAGTGTGAGCCACCTTGCCAGTCCCCCAGTCTAATTTTAAATTTACATTATGAATTCTGATTTTGAACCCATGTATTGAATTTTTCCATTTAGTTACTGTATTTTTAGCCCGAGAGCTTCTGTGTAGTTCTTCATAATTTCTGTATGTTGGTTGACCTTCTCATTTTCTTCATGCATTGGTTTTTTGATTTCTTGAAGCTGTCTCTGAACTCAATGAGTTTCCAAAATTGTTTGAGTTGGAGTCATAAGGGTGGCAAGGTCTTCAGTCCGAGGTCAATCCTTGCAGAACATCAGAAAATTCATTTTTCAGATAATTGTTCCAAATACAGTGACTATAGAAAATCATAAAGCTTCAATTGACATTAGAGCCAATTAGGCATTGACTTGAGATTGAGTTGACTTAACATTGAGTTTAAGCATTAATTGACATTAAAGTGTTTATGTTAAGAAGATTGGGCTATGTGGGGTGGCTGACGTCTGTAATCCCAAGGCTTTGGGAGGCCAAGGCTGATAGATCACAGCCACTCCTGGCTATGAGAGTGTGGAGGCGGCTCTAGGGGTGGGGCCTGGTTAGAAGGGGCAGGGCCTTGAACAGGATCTGGACAGGGCAAGAATGAGGAGACTGCCTGGGAGCCGGGCTGGAAAGTGGGAACGCCCGGGCCAGAGAGAGATCATCATCTTGAGGGCGAGGTCTGGAAGGGATGTTTTGAAGCGCAGGGTCTGTAGGGGGCGGGTGCTGTCTTTCTCCCCAGCTGGGCCCCAGATGTCTCCTGCTGTCATCCTCTCCATCCTCCATCCTGCAGGACTGGATTCCCGGGTTACTGATTGGTGGATTGTTTCTGATATGCCGTGATATTACCCCTAATATCACAGGGATGCTTCCTGTCCGTTTTGAGTTAATATTTCAAAGAATCGAAGGTAAAACAACTTACTGTAGTGGGCCACCTGTACTGATCGCTGAATCGTTTTTCCTCTTAAGTTGAAAATGGTTTTAATGCAAAGCGCCTTTTTTGAGCAGGTAGAGTCAGGCATCCTGCTGGCGGTGCAAGCTCCCCTCCGTCTGGGGCAGGGTGGGGGAGAGGGGCAGGAATCTTGGTAAAGGGGTGGAGTGGGGCGCTGGTTGCAGCGGGGACTGGTAATTAGAATGGCTTATTAAACTAAGCAAGATCCTGGGTTGTTTGAGTGGATAATGGAAACTGAAAGGTGACATGCAAAACTGCCTATTACACACAGGAGTGGAGGATAATTTCATATTTCATGGAAATAAAGTCACGGCCTGGAGCGGTGTCTCACACCTGTAATCCCAGCAGGTTCAAGAGCCGAGGCAGGAGGATCGCTTGAGCCCAGGTGTTTGAAATCAGCCTGGGCAACATAGTGAGACCTCGTCTCTACTAAAAATCAAAAAAATCTGCCAAGTGTGGTGGTCCACGCCCGTGGTCCCAGCTGCTTGGGGCGCTGAGGTGGGAGGATCACTTGAGCCAGAAAGTTGGAGACTGCAGTGAGCTCTGATCTCGCCACCACTCTCCAGCCTGGGTGACAAAGCTAGACCCTGTCTCAAACAAACAAGCAAATAAATGAGAGGTGTAATTCCTCCTTTAAAAGTAAGGGAAGAGATTTTATTTCATCTCTTAGAATATTCAGTTAGAAAATTTATAAATTCATTTTCTCTGTCTTCTGAGGTTTTTTTTTTTTTTTTAGACAGTTTTTTTCTGTTACCCAGGCTGCAGTGCAAGGCGCGATCTCCCCTCATCACAACCTCCATCTCCTGGGTTCAAGCGATTCTCCTGCCT